CCGGCGAGCCTGCGCACTGGGCGGGCCGGCGGTTGCCATGGAGACAGCGTCACCGGAGCCGGGGGAGGGAGCGGCTGCACCGCCATGAGCCTGGGGCGGGAGCCGGGCCTGCCCTTCCTCCCGGGCTGCGCCTTCAGGGACGCCATGGTGAGCGCAGCCGTCCGGTGAACCCTGCCTCCCGGGGATCCCCCGCCCCCTTTCCCCCGGGGCACCCCCAAGCCCGGTCTGTCCCGGCCTAGCGGGGCCCCCCAGAGAAGCCTCTACCAGAGGTTTGGGCCTCTACCCCCACCCCTGCTCCAGGGACTCGTCAGTGACTTGTACCCTGTCTGGATCTGCCGAGGGACCTGGTAGCCACTGAAGACACCCCCTGGGAACTTGGTGCTCCCTCAGATCCTCCTCTAACTCCTCAGGAGACCTGTTGCTCCTAAACTAACCTAAACCCCCAAACTCACCTAATATTCCCTCATAGGGACATATTACATCCTAAACCACCCTAAAGGAACCACCTGTTCCCTCAGACCACTCCCTAATTCCTTTGTGAAGCCTGGTACCTCCCGAATTCACCTAATAATCCCTGAGGGGACTTGGTGTCTTGGGAACCCATGTCCTCGGAACCTGGTACCCCTCAAACTCACCAGACACCCTTCAGGGGACCTGGTAACCTATGAAATGATCCCCAAGGGACCTGGTGCCCTGTAAATTCATCTGATGCTCCCCAGCAGACCTAGCACCCGCTGAACTCTCCCCCAGGGTACTTGGTACTTCCCAAAGCCAACAAATAATCTGCTGAACTCTCTTCTGGGAGACTTGAGCTCTCTGAACCCACCTGGTATCCCTTGACCCCACCCACAGCTGACATGGTTCTCCCTAAATTCTCCCAATGTCACTGAAAGCCTGTTACCAGGGGACCAGCTATCTCTGAGCCCACCCTCCAGGGAACTTGGTACTCTTAATCTTGTCCCCAGGGAACCCATTGCATCTTGCACCCATCTGATAACCCCCAAAACTGTCCTGATACCTTTGGAGAGGTAGGTTCTCCCAGCCTCATTTGAGACCCCCAGAACTTTATAACTGCAGAACTACTATCTGCAAACTCACCCCATGGGCATCCAGCACCCCTGAATCCATCTAATAGTTCCCCTGCCAGTTCATGTGATACCCCAAGGGAAGGAGTATCCCCAAACTCACTTTACAGCCTTGAAACCTGATTCCCCCAGGGAAAACTACTATTTCTCTGAACTATCTCAGTTTTCCCAAAGGGATGTGTTCTGAACCTACTGTTCATTCTGATACTGCCCTGAACCAGGACCCATAAACTCACCTTATAGCCCCTCAACTGATTTGATATACTCAGGAGAACCAACACTGTCCAAACCTCAAGCAGTCCTCCACCAGGAATTAATCCCCCACACCATTCCAATACAGTTATGTCCTGGACCCACCCACCACCCTCAGAGGGACAGATACACCCCAAAGTCACCAATCTCCCAGGCAATTAATACCCTCCTGGTACCCCCTTCTTCAAAGCTCTGATACTTCCACAAATGCTCACCCGGTATTGCCTGGAGAAAAGAATCCTTGATAGTCCACAAGGAACTAATGGTCTGGAGTGTGAGAACCTGATAATCTTCAGAGAAGTGGTATCCCTCCACAGAACTGATACCACCACAGCCTCCAGGCCCATCCCAAGGAAGTGAGACCTTCTCAGCTGCTGCCAGGTTCCTTGGAAGAAGTAGTTTCATCCTCATCCTCTTCACTTGAATTGACACCTAAATGAGGAAGCAACCTCTCCTTTTCCCCATTCCCAATGGCCCACGCACTAAGGATCTGATAACCCCAAATCCTCCCAACATCCTCTTGAGGAAGCGGTACCACGGATGAGAAGTGATACTGAGTTCCTTCCAGTACTGTTTCAGGGCAGCTGACTGCTCTGACCTTCCTTCTCCCTGGGGAACTAATTGAATCTTGACACCATTGCTCAACTTCAGCTCAATGCTACGAATGTCAGTTTGAGAAACCGATATCCTGACTGTTTCCCGCAGATGCAATGCTCCCAGACTTTTGTAGGGAACATTTTATATTGTTCCTAGGTATTAAGCTCCTTACAGTTTGCGGGAGCTTAATATCCTTATGAACAGGCTCCTCCGTTTCCATAAGGCTCCCTATTCTGAGTGAGGCCCCTCCTTGCCCCTGTTCTCTCACAATACATCCAAGTTGTCTGGTCATCAGGAGAGCAGGACCCCAGTATGCTCTGGTATTCCAGAATAAGGAGCCTCATGTACTTTTAGGTTAACATTTGTCATGGAACATGCTGTACTGAAAAAAAAAAACAAAAAAAAACCCAAAAAAACTTATCTTGGGACAGTACTCCTTGTCCTTGATATTCCTACTGAAAACTGACACCTCCAGAATAAGCCCTTCCATGTCTTCCTGATACATTCCCTAGACTGTGCTCTACAGAAGAGAGATACTCCTAACCAATCCAGTATATCTTTAGGTGAATCCTCAGGTGATGGTGAGCCCCACTGCGGGTCAGTCAGTCTGCTCTTCCCATGTCACTCACAGAGCCTATTTACTTCACAGGACGCAGACCTCATGCCCATTGATCTTCCAATGGGAATGCTAATTGTCCCAAAGGAAGAAAGCTTCCTTTCCATCTCCTGCCAGCACAATGCTTCTGATAATTCTAGAGGACACCACAGTATTTCCGAGGTATCCTTGTAACAGAAATTTCTATAACTCTTGATTGTGCCTCAGATGGAGTGGGGAGGAACCTCTAAAGGATCTTAACAACACTGAGGGGATCGAGTGCTCCTGTAGGAAGTTGTCCTATGTTCCTTAGACCAGTGGTGGTACTGTCACTACTATCTGTTTGATAGATGTGCTCTTGACATGATGTACTCTTGAGAAGGACTATGTCATGATGGGCTTTGGTAAACCCAATCCAGATCATTCTGGATGCTTTTGTGGGAACCCAGTTTTCTCTGTTTTCCTAAATAGGACCCTCTCCTTTATTCTGCTTATGTGTGGATTGGGGCTACCCAAGGATAAATTGCCACTGTACCAGTCTTAATGGTGCCTTCCAATGTGAACAAACTATTTGCTAAATTAGTGATGACTGAGTTCTTCAGTAATAAGTGGAGTCATTTACTCATAACGAATCCTTTCAATCATGCACTAATAAAGGCTATCTCAGAATTATTCTCAGCTTAATAATATTATTTCCTCAATATCATTTATAACGTCTTGGAAATCTACAATGCAGATTTCTGCCCCAGCAAAATATTATTTCCTCTATCAGTATAATCCTGCCTGCTTTAGTCATGTGACTGCTTCCACTGACCTCAGCAGCGCTATGTGTATGTAAGAAACACCCACAGGACTTAGCAGAGCAGATCATTATTTTAGAGTAACTTGAAGTATTGAACTATTGGTAATGTTTTAAGGAGATCTGGACTCCAGATGTGGCTTTGCACTGTTGCTCAGGGTGAGCCCTAGTGAGTGCTACCAACTCACTTTGCCTCAATTTTCCAGTCTCTAAAGTGGGCATCCCCATACTTGTTTTCCATGTGAATGCTGAGAAGTACTGAAGAAAACCTCTGTGTTCAAAGAAAATAATATTGTTATTGCTTAGTTCTCATGGGACAGAGGAACAGGCACTGGGAGGGGGAATGGTATTTGTAGGAAGGATTATAGACTCAGTAAAAGGACTTCATTCAGTGGAATTCCTTCAGATACGGACTGGCAGCAACTGAGATTAGGAGTTTACATTCTGGGTTTTCCCTTTTAAATTTACATTAGTCACTTGATACTGTGAGATGTTATCTGGCATCCATGCTCACTTGGGAGAGCCTATCAACTCTGGGACGTGAATTTGAGAGGTGTTTTCTTTAGGCAACTGTGCGCCCTTACAAGCCTGTGCGCTTCTGAAACACTGATATTGCCCAATTTAAAGATGAATTTCCTGGTTTTCCCTGAATATTTTCCCCACATCTTTCTCTTGGTATTTATTTAACAGAAGAAAATGGCAGTTCTGTGACAGGCCTAATGTTTGTAAGATGTTCTGTTAACATTTCTTCAGCAGACTCTTGTTTTCTTTACCTGAACCTGTTTTCCTGACTGCTCTGTCCACTGCAAGTTCCATAGAACCAGTTTAAAGAGAAAACGGGCGACTATGTGAAATTCAAGTGGGGCCTTGAAGGTATAAATAAGATTAGAGGTTTACCCATGAGGAGTGAGGGAGGGGGTGGAGAAGAAGTGGTTCACATGCCTGAGGTTGGACTGATTGCAAGCCTGGGTCTGGAAAAGGAGCTGAAGGTTGTTCCTTCAATGCTGGAAATGCATACATTTCCATTTTACTTGGCAAAAGTCAAGGTAAAGTCAGGGGGTTTATTATTAGGGACTCACAATTTCTTCTGCTTTCTTTGGAGCATTAAGTGGTGACAGCTCAGTGGGACCAGCCAGGCATGTGTTATTTCAAATGCTTTCAGGACTGCAGGTGAGGTACCAGGTGTGGTGGACTGTACAGCAAGCCAAGGAGCCTGGTGTCACTCAGGTCTGATCCTAATCATCACTAGTGAAGAACAGGACTGGACTGACAGAGATCAAGCCCTATTCACAGCTCTGACATCTTTTTGTTGTGTGTCTTAAGCAAGACAGGGACCTTCCTGTGCCATCTGGATAATTATTTAGCTTGAAGAAGGGCTCAGTAACTGGCATGAGACAGGTGAAAGGCCCTGAGAAGCTCAAAACCAAGATTAAACCAACAAAGCAAGAAATTGCAGGTGAATCCTATAGCCAACATTATACAGTGCTCACAAAGATAGAATTCTTCTCGTCTTACACTGTGGTTGTGGTTATTTCATGTGTGACCCTTGCATGGGCTGTGGAAAGGGATGGTGAAACAGCTGATGTGCTTTGCTACATTTCATAATTGCAGCTCTATGAGCTTGATTTAGCCCAGCGAAGAAAATCCTGTGAATATCATCCCCAGGAGAGAGTTTACAAAACAGATAATGATGGAAAACACAGAGGGTGCACAAGGTGTAATAGTTGAGGGAGCACTGTAAGGCAATAACAGTGAGGTCCCATGGTGCTTTGTGCTGTCATAACACAGAGTAGGGAACAAAGAGTTTGTGAGAGAAAATCTAGGGCAGATAAAGTGCTGTCACCCCATTCTAGGTACTGAGAATGGGGGCAATAGGGAAATTCAGTGATTTAAGCACTTGGCGAGTCTGTGCCAGTGCTAGGATTTGAGTTCACTCTGATGCTTTGTTCTTCCAGCCACTTACTGTTTTTTCAGCCTTCTTGATCTAAGTGTGAAATCTGATTGTAAATAACTGCTGCAGTCGGTTATCCTAAAATGCTGGGGGAGGCATTCTGGATTTTACACTCTTTCACTGGTTTTCTGTGCTTTTGGTAGCTGTATCTACTAGGTGCATGTAGTATTTTAACAGCTGGATTTCCTTCCACAGAAAACGTCTTTTCATCGGCCCCAGACACTGGGCTACAAAAATGGATTTGCCTTTTCTCGGCTGCCAGCAGTGGGGATCGGCAGGGAGCGACTCTATGTGAATCAGCTTTCTCAGGCTGAATTAGATGACTTATCCAACCAGAGACCGACACTGACCTATGGGCCAGCCAAACGGGCTCCACCTTCAGGCTTCATTCCAGCACACGTGGCTTTTGACAAAAAGGTATAAAGAAGCTTATTCCAGGAATATTGCTGGCCAAGTTCGGAGACATAAACAGTCAGCTCCAGGGTTCATGGGACAGTGTACAGCAGTTTTCAGATGCCATAGCCCTTAGTCAGAGACAGCTGAACCCCAGACTGAAAGAAGCTTTCTTTACTTGGGAGGAGGATTATAATACGTAAACGATGTAAGACATTCCCCACAAGTTATGCTAGAGCATTTCCAGCAGGCGTTGGAAAAGAAGTTTGATTAACTCTGAAAAGCTTCAGTTTATAACCCTGTGAACCACAACTTGGCCTTCTGTGTTTCCAAAACTATATTGAGATTGTAACTGAGCTTAAAGTATAAAAGACAGTCTGCAACAAGGACCCTGTTAGACTGTTTAACTGTGGTCTATCTATTTATGCCTGTCACCGCAGCGTGTTACAGCCTGTACTGCTCCATCGGTACTTCCTCCGCTACATCTTGGTGATCGTATCGGACCAGGAGGCAGCTGTGTGACTGCTTGGAGCAGTCCTGAGCTGACCCGTAATTTTCAGAGTGCCAGTGGCACAGACTTGCAAGCTGGCGAGCGCAGCCGCAGCCATGGACAGAGCTGTCGCTGCGGAGCGTGCAAGGCTCGGCAGACCTGAGCCTGTGCAGGGGTTTGCACGCTGCCAGGCAGGCCTAGAAAGGCCAGTCTGCAGCCAAGCCTTAGGCCGTCTGTGAGAGGCTGGGGAACAGATGTGCTGTGTTAATTCCTGAGGCTGTTCCTTCAGAGTAACGGAGATGTTGCTGTTTAATCTGATCGACACTTCTCTGCCCCTTCATTCAAGCCAGAGTAGCAGCAGGGGCCCCAGCGCTGCTGGGGGAAGTCATGGTCCGTTTTGAAACGCTTTTCTGTCTGGTAGGAACTTGCTGGCTTTATCATCACTTAATTACCCGGGCCTCTGGGCTGATGTAGGCTGGGTATGCAAGGCCTGATTGGCCACCTACATCCTCTTAGGGGCACTGAATGATCTTGGAGGAAATATTCCTCCTACTTCTGCCAAGCACAGGAGGTGTGATTGACTGGCTGATTTGTCTCCTTGCTTCTCCAGCACAGATTAGTTTTTGCTGATCACACCTGGAGGGTCGTCTCCAGTTTTGGGCACTTCAATACAAGAGAGATCTGGAGGGGCTGGAGCGAGGGCAGAGGAGGGCAACGAGGCTGGGGAAGGGCTGGAGAATCAATCCTGTGGGGAGCCAGGGAAGGAGCTGGGAGTGTTCTGTGTGAGGAGGAGGAGGCTGAGGGGAGCCCTCATCCCTCTCTGCAGCTCCTGACAGGACATTGCAGAGGGGCTGGGGCTGGGCTCTGCTCCCAGGGGATCAGGGACAGGACAAGAGGGAACAGCTGGAAACTGCCCCAGGGGAGGGTCAGGCTGGGCAGGAGGAGAAAATGTTTCCCAGCAAGAGTGGTCCGAGAGTGGAACAGGCTGCCCAGGGAGGGGGGAGTCCCCATCCCTGGGGGGGTTTAAGGGTCGTTTGGATGAGATGTTGGGAGATGTGGGGTAGGGGAGAACTTTGTAGAGTTGGGCTGAGGGTTGGACTCAATGATCCCAGAGGTCTTTTCCAACCTGAATGATTCTGTGTGATTCTGTATGTGATTCTGTGTGTGCTGAATAGATGTGACTTCAGATGCAGATTTTAAAATCCACAGATGTGGATGAACTCTTTACCAAAATCTCCTAAAAGCTTCCCTAAATCAGAGTCTGCAAAGCTGACAATAGTAAAGAAAGCCATGTATGTCAGAAAACAAGTTTACTGGCAGTAACCAAGCATCTGGCAGTAGGTGAAATAGCGGGTGATGAAGGAAGAGTAGGGAAAAGGCTGTAGTTTTTACACCTGTTTTGTGTACCAAGCTTGGAAAGGCAGGTCTTGATAAAAACTCTCATGATACCTCTGCCACCAGTCACAGATTAGGCTGCAGTTGGCACTGATGATTTTATAGGTTACAGTTCAGTAATTCTGCACTGCCAGAGCAAATTACAAATAAATTATTGGTATTGATAGACTAATCACGGTGTTCAGACTGTTTCTTTCTCTCTCCCTTTGTTATATTACCCCTTTGGCAGATTTTGAAGTTTGATGCCTATTTCCAGGAAGATGTTCCTCTCTCCGCAGAAGAGCATTACCGGATCCGCCAAGTGGCTATCTATTACTACTTGGAAGATGACACCATGTCTGTCATAGAGCCCGTTGTGCAGAACTCTGGTCTTCCTCAAGGCAAACTTATCAGACGCCACCGCGTGCCCAAGAATGACCGTGGGGAACATTACCACTGGAAGGATCTGAATCGGGGAATGAACATCACCATGTACGGCAGGACGTACCGCATAGTTGACTGTGACCCTTTCACACAGGTGTGTTGCTTGTCCAGAGGGCGCTGACACAGGGAATCCTGGAATTACAGATGGACAGACCTCTTAGAATCCAATAGTCTGCATCTGTAGCTTTCACAATAAGGTTGTTTGCAATCTTTCATTTTGCTTTTTGTGGAGAACTCTCTCTTCAGATCAATGGGAAGTTCAAGGTATATTTGCTGAGGGCACATTAACTGCTCAGTGGTTTTGCCCCATGGCTGCCCCATCCTTTGTCCTCAGAAATGCTCCTTATAGCACAAATTCTAAGCTTATTTCTGTGTGAACAGAATTGGTCTAAGCTCATTGCTATGTGTACACCAGTTTAACTGCTTAGAGTCCAGATGAAACCTTTTGTGCATAAGTGAGAGGGAAAATACTGATCCTGACTCTTTTCTAACTTAATACTCCTCTGTTAAGAGTAGGAGAAGGGAATGCCCTCAGTAACTGCACTCATCTACAGCCAAGCCAGAAGAGCAGTCATGATCTGTGGGTTGAGAATTGTGGTATGAACTGACCTTTCTGTGAGAGCTTACTCATTGCCTGCTTTTCTATTTCTGGCTATTTCTATACCAGTAAATAAGATAATAACAATCCAATAACAAGTAACAACAAATACCAGTATACTGGTATCCTTTTAGATTGTCCCCTGTATAATCTCAGCCCTGGTCAACTACTATTCTTCTAAGCAAATCTCAGGAGCAGTCCAGGAGTTAGAATGCTCCAGGAACCATTCCCAAGAGGTGAGTTATGTGCAGCCAACCTCTCCTGGAGGCTGAGAGAGTTTAGATGCAGGCCTTGCCAACTGGCTTCAGTTCCCAGGAATGTTCCTGATATATTGGTATATATGTGGCTGTTGAGAAGATGTGGGGCCAGCTCTGCTGGAGCTGGATGACTGTTAAAGTCAATTCACATCAAATGAAGAGCTGGTCCTCGTGTTAAGTGTGGGTTGTTGATGGAAAACAAGAAGTGAGCTCCATGGGTCTACATCTCAAACATCTCAAGGCCACTAGTCTGTTTATCATTAAATGGCATCCTCTAGACCAGAAAATAGTGAGTCTGACAGTGTGAACCTGCCTTGTGAGTCTTCAGGGTGATCTCACGTGCCTGTTGGAGATGTTTGCATAGGTGCTTCCTGGGCTGAACGTTTTCACGGGCCATTTCCCAAGGCCAAAAAGGGAAGAAATCCATTGACTGTTTGTTTTGTTTTGGGTGACTGATGTGAGTACACAAGTAATAACCTAGAGTTTGTTGATGCATCTGAGAGAAGAAAAAAATACCTTTCTAAACAAACAGATCTCCCTCTTTCTGTGGGAAAAGTACTCCTCCTGAAAGATGGAATGAAGCTGCCACTCTGGCATGCATATATCCTCATGTCTTGAAGGGCCTTGGTGGGCCTAGTGTGGGTAGCACTGTCTGACACATTGGGGAACCCTAGATCTCTTCCAGATTCAGACTGACTACACCCGTGGTTATGCACTAATTTAATCTTTTTCATTTCCACAAAAGAGAGCAACTGACAGTTATCCTCCATTTAAAACCCTACGGCCAAAGGAAACTGTGCTCAGTTAAAATCTGAGTTAGGAAGTTGAGGACAGGATTGTTCTGATTAATTAAAAAGCAAACAAAGCTAAGAAGCAGCTTAAACAGAAACATCTTGATCATCTTCTATTGTATTTTCTATTGCAATAGAACTAATATTCCTGCAGCCTGGTGGTTTGTGAGGGAAGAACTTGCAGTATTCTGACAACACTTATCTCAGCCCATCTGTCATCTCTAGTTACCTCTTACCTTCAGAATTTACGCAGCATTCATACCTCAGATGACCTTTCTAGGTGTTCCTGGAGAGCCAAGGACTTGAACTGAACCCTCCAGAGAAAATGGTTTTTGATCCTTACACAGAACTGCGTCGGATGCCTGTGCGCAAGTACATCACGCCCTCAGACTTCGACCCGCTGAAACAGTTTCTGACTTACGACAAGCAGGTGAGAGAGCTGGTAGTGATCACCCACATTACAGACTAGACGTGTTATTGAAACACGAGTCTTGTGAGTGTCTGCAACCTTACTCATTCTAAAAAATCTCAGTCTGCTGAACAGACTCCAGATTTGCTCCTTTCTTGGCTTTGGTGAGAAACAAAACCTTTTATGTTTTTGCTGAGCTTTTTGCCTTGTAAACTCCTTCTCTTTGGATTGCAGAGCCTACACTCTAGATCCTCCATTTCTCTCTTGCTTTCTGTTGGGATGAGATAAGCCACCTGCCTCGAGAAGTTAGCAGCCAGATGCAGTTCTATTATGAACAGACTCGCTGCATCCACTCCTCTTTTCCCGAAACACTGATGCCAGGTGCCAGAGTGGACAATTTCAGACAAACACAAATGCCACTTGCTCTGACTGAATTCTCCCTAGTTGACTAACACTCTCCTCCCTGCTCCCCTGGATCTTCTTTTCATCTAGCAACAATGTAAGAAACCCTATAGACTACATCTATGCTGGAAAATAAAACAGGGCCAGGACACCACCTGAGTTCTGCATATTGTCCCTGGCCAGCTATAAATCAAATAGTTCCTGGCCAGAAACTTTGTTAGCAGAGGCCAGGATCCTATCCAGTTGCCATTTTGGATATGGTTACCCTGTTTTGTGGGGAGCTGTGTGCTTTGCTGTGTGGATGCAAGCTGGGCTATGTCTGACATTTTACTGCCAGTTTAACTTCAGTGACTCAAGTCTGTGCTGGGCCAGCTCTGCCTACAATGTCCACTGGGCAGGAGCTGTACCTTGGGAAGGTACAAACTGAGGAGTTTGATTTCTGTGGCATTAAAAGATGATGTTTCCTCTAGGCAGAAGTATGATGGGGTGTGCAGTGAATGCAGCCTCCTCAGGACTGCCAAGTGTATTCCCCTCAGTCTTCCTCAGCATGAGAGTAGTAAAGAATTGGTCATGCAATCTCCAGGAGGTGTAAGAGTCAAAACAAGATTCTGTCTTGCTCTATTAAGTTTCAGTATAAAAATCACTCCCTTAATACCACTTCCCTACCCATTTCTGGGCAATTATTTTCTTCTGCCTTTTAATCACTTCCCCCCCATTTTTCTTCATGCTTACTGAACTAAATTTCTTGTCTTAGCATAAACTGTTCTCTCATTTGCTGCTATCAAGGTAAACCAGGCCTGTCCAGCTCTCCAGGCCCCTGCTGCCCTTCCCACTGCTGCCTCATTCATCCCAGTACCCACAGTATGAGGGCTTGGTTCTTCTGTACCTGACAGAGAAGATTGATGAGATGCCTTCAATCACCCATCCCATTTCAACCCACTTCATTTGGACAAAGCATTAGTAATTCCCACCCACGTTTGTCTTCTCTGCCTTTTTTTTTCTCCACCCCAGGTCCTTCGTTTCTACGCCGCGTGGGATGACACTAACAGCATCTTTGGTGAGAATAGGCCTTACGTCATCCATTTCTACTTGGCAGATGACACAGTGGAGGTTCGGGAAGTCTACAAGCAAAATGATGGTAGAGACCCATTCCCAATACTGATAAAACGCCAACGCTTACCCAAAACCTTTGCGGACAAGAAAAGTAAGTTTAGATTGGACAGCACATCTGTGCTAAAGTGCCTTGGTGAGTAGACACATGTGTGGCAGCTGTGTCAGAGAGAGTCTAGAGAATTTTTTCTGAGAATACTCCAAGTGTCATCAGTTTTTGGCCAAAGAAAAGTTCTTTAAATACGCACTAAATTCTATATCTTTTAGGAAACAGTGGCAGGACAGCAGTACCAACAGCTCCCTGGAGCTATTTATACAGCTTGCTTTTGTATCCCTTTCACTAGGAAATGTTAACATCTACCAGACTGAATTGTTTTTCCTTTTATTCCCTTGTCCTTAGAGACCTTCCCAAGCTGTGTGCTGGAGATCTCTGATCAGGAGGTACTTGAGTGGTTCACAGCTAAAGATTTTGCTGTTGGCAAAACTATCACCCTCCTTGGACGCACCTTCTTCATCTATGACTGTGATGAGTTCACACGAAACTTCTATCGTGACAAATTTGGCATTACAGACTTCCAGCCAGTGGAAATAAAGAAGAAATCACTTGAGGAAGTTCCACGGGTACTGCAAACAATTTCTCAAAGGGAGGGAAGGAAGCAATTGGTGTAAGATCTTATAGTAAAGATTAGGCTCAGCTTAGTAAGAACGTATAGTATACCAGTTCAGCTTAAAGAAAAGAGCAAGGAATTTGAAAAAGACAAAGCAAGGAGGGTTATAATTGATTTAACAATGAAAATCCTCTGAAACTGTTGATTTCTAATACTGTAAAGGACAAAGCACTTGCTAATAGTGATAGAAAGAACTCTGGTTATGTCTATACTAGTAAATCAAACAGTGTCAAGGTTTGGTTTTGACTGGGAAGCCAACTGGCACAGTCTGGCTGCACTCAATACTACTAAACTCTCCCTCACTCTCCAAAACAGCATTGCCAAGTCCAAACTGCCTACCAGGGACAGTCACAGCCCTTGTCACCTCCCAGACTGAGCCTAGGAGTGGTTTGGAGTGCTAACTGGTTGAGACCACAAACATGATGAGGGTTAGGTTAACACTCTGACCATTTAGATGATTGAGTTCCTGTGCACAGGAAGGTTTAGCTATTAGTATAGTCACAGTGTCTTTATTCAGAGAGATTACCTGGCTTTCTGAATATCAGATTTTCTTAATTCTCTTAAATATTTTCTGTAAGTAAGGGGTCCAACACATGGCCAAGCTGGTAGCATCCCTACTGGGCAGGATGTCACAGCTATTGCTACCTGGTGACAGTTTATTTCTTTCCAAACAGATAGTTTCTGATAAGCTGTCCTTCAAATGTTGCCTTGTTGTTAGTTTCAGCTATTTTCTCCTCTGGATGCAGGTAATTCCTCCCTATAATGGTTTTGGTGTCCTTGAAGACTCTCTTCAGAACTGCTTTTCTCTGTTTCCAAAGCCTCCCCGGAAAGATATAATTAAGATGCTAGAGAATGACCACAAGGTGCTGCGATACCAGGTGGCTCTGGTAAGTGCTTTCCTTGACGGTATAAGGCGAGCTTGTGTTGTAAAGTCAGAAGGATGGGAGGAACAGTCTGCTTGGACAAGGCTGTTAGCAAATTCTCCTCTGTGCTGGTGGAAAAAGAGGCTTCCCCAAGCCAACACTAGTCCCCCCTTAGGGAATACCTTTGAGTTCCTGTGTGTTTGCTGTGACAATTAGTGGCATGCAAAGGTAGAAAAAAACAAGGCCAGAAAGTACAAAACAGACATGCTACAAAACCACAGCCATTTATGGAATAACTCCCACTGACATCAGCACGTGACAGATGGCCCTGACTGAAACAGCACTGCAGCTGGGCACCGTGCCCCTGCCTGCCTTCAACCGCTGCCACAAGCGTGAGCTTCTGTCTCTCTGCTGCTGGCTCCCAGCACCCGTCCTTCTCCAGGCCAGTCCTGACCACAGCAACCAGCAAGGGGCTGTGCTAGCGGGGCAGCCAAGTGCCAGCGCAGAACCCGGGGAGTCTGCAGTGATGGTGCTTTCCACCCACCACAGCAGCATTCGGGCCCTGGCCTTTGTGCCAGCTTTACAGCTGGTTTATGCAAGGAGCCTCTGGCACATCCAGCAGTAGCAATGGCATTTCCTGTGCTGCCTGGTGCTTGCCTTCTCCAAACACTCAGGGTGACTAAGGGCTGATTTCTTTTCCCTATTGTGCAGGAGCTCCTAAAGGTCACAGTTGACGAGTTCAGAGCCACTTAATTTTAAACTAAGCAAGTAAACCTACCGGTGTGTCAGGGGAGTGTCTTCCTGTGACTAAGAGCTGGAAGCAGCACCAACCTCTCTCAGGCACTCATTACTGAGAGCAGCCCTGTGGAGAAGGACCTGGGGGTATTAGTGGATGGAAAACAGACTGTGAGCCAGCAATGTTCGCTCAAAGCCCAGAAAGCCAACTGTGTCCTGGGCTGCATCCAGAGCAGTGTGGGCAGCAGGGCGAGGGAGGGGATTCTCCCCCCGCTACTCTGCTCTGGTGAGACCCCCCCTGCAGGGCTGGGTCCAGCTCTGGGAGCACCAACAGCAGGACACGGACCTGCTTGAGCAGGGCCAGAGGAGGCCACAAAGATGCTCAGGGAGCTGGAGCACCCCCCTGTGAGGACAGGCTGAGAGAGTTGGGGGGTTCAGTTGGAGAAGAGAAGGCTCCGGGGAGACCTTAAAGCGGCCTCCCAGGGCTGAAAGGGGCTGCAGGAAAGGTGGAGAGAGACTTTTTATCAGGGGGTTTAGGGATAGGAGGAGGGGTAATGGCTTTGAATTGAAAGAGGGGAGATTTAGATTAGATCTAAGGAAGAAATTCTTCCCTGTGAGGGGGGTGAGGCCCTGGCACAGGCTGCCCAGAGAAGCTGTGGCTGCCCCCTCCCTGGAAGGGTTCAAGGCCAGGTTGGACGGGGCTTTGGGCAACCTGGGCTAGTGGAAGGTGGCCCTGACCATGGCAGGGGGGTGGGACTGGATGGTCTTTCAGGTCCTTTCCAACCCAAACCACTCTATGATTCTGTGGTTCTAGTGAAAAATAGAACTTTAATACTGAATTTTACAGCCAGTCTCTCTCTCTGATGAATCATTCCATATGGGATATTCCTTTCTCTTGGATGACTCAGTCTGTGGAAACACTGAATATGACACTGCAGCCCAGATTCTGCTTCTGTTAGCCTGACTAGAGCAAGCAACCTTTAAAATATAGATATTTAATGCTTTCTAGGGCTTTGTCATGCTATGACAGCATATCTGTAGCTTTTGGCCTACAGCAAGTGCTTTGCTTAGTCAGCTATAAAAAAAAAGCTATGAGCTGTGGGTGTTTATGAGTGGGTTACTAGCTACTCTCTAAGCACCCCAGGAAAGAAAAACCCAGTTCAAATGTTCTTTTCCAAAGCCACTACCTTTCCTCTAGGAATCACCAAATCCTGAGGACAGAAAGCGTCGTTTCATCCTCTCTTATTTCCTCTCCAATGACATGATCAGCATCTATGAACCCCCAGTCCGTAACTCTGGCATCATTGGAGGCAAATACTTAGGAAAGACCAGAGTTGCCAAACCAGGCTCTACTACAGAGAATCCCACATACTATGAGCCCTCTGACCTCACCATCGGTTCTACAGTTGAAGGTAAAATTTGACAATACTTTGAGCGTAGATTTTCAGTGCCTGCTCTGAGATGTCATTTATTGCATGGACGGTGCATATACCTTCCTTCACTTGAAAGATCTGTTCCTTCTGCTTCTCATCTCATTGGAGTTTCTTGATCACCAGCTGGTATACACTGATACAAATCTGTTGCTGTCAATGTTTGGACCTTTGACATAATTCGGAAAAGAGCTCTGTTCTCCATACTATGTGTTCAGTTTACATTTTGGGACCTGCGAGGATTCCCAGGGTTAAAGATATGCCAGATGACTACCAGCAGCAAAGGCCATAAATCTATCCTATAAGGAAAATAAATGTAATACTGAAATATTTAGAAACACACCAGTGCTAATGTGGGAGTCATTGTAGGCCCAAGCATGGGGCCTTTGCTCTCAGCAGCTGCTTTTCTTGCAGCAAAACTCCCTTTGAGTCAGTGAAACTATTCTCACTTCAAGGACTGAAACAAACAGCAGAGCTTGCTCAAACCCAGGCCCAGCCACAAGAGAGGAACCATGCTCTCTTCTGGATGATGAAGTGACTTACCCATGCTGAAAGGCAAGTAACACTGCTTTCTTTAATGCCTCTTCCCCAGTGTTTGGCCACAGGTTTGTTATCACTGACGCTGATGAATATGTGCTTAATTACATGGAGAGCAATGCAGAGAGTTTCCCTGCTGCCACACTGCAGTCCCTGAGGGATCATTTTCGCCCACGGCAGGTGGTAAAGGAGACTGCCAACAGGTAGGCTTCAAAGGATGGTGTTGTGGAGCTAAATGAGACTCAGGGCTGACAACTGAAGGGATTTCCAGCAGCCTCCATGGGCTTCAGCTTGCTGTCTGGTGGCTGCCCACCTGGCTGTTCAGCTCCAAGAGCCTGTGTCTGCACACACACAGAGGGGGTCAGGTGTGTACAATACAATGTCACAGCTGCTGCTGACCAAAACCGCTTGTGGGACAGCTCTGCCTCAGCAGCAGGGATACTTTCAGCTAGATGGACACAGTCATCTTTTCCCAAAACACAGCAGTTAACTGTGACAGCTGCTGCTAACAGTATCTGCATGAGCCACTAGATGCTTGCAGGCTCAGTGGATGGTTGGTGGAGTCTTTTTTTTTTTTGTTTTTCATTTGCTTGGGCTGTGCTTATCAGCCCATCTGAGCATAGACCACATCCTCTTTTATATCTGTCTGGACCCATATGACACAATAACAACCCTATTACCTCACAACACACTTTGGAGTCTGTGAGTATCATGGTAGTTCAGGGGCTCTGCTTGAAAGTAGAGTTGCATACACCTCCTGGGGCTGTATGGAGCACACAAGGAAACGCTCCTTGTCCCAGAGCACCAAAAAAAAGGTGTATGGGGGAAATGTCCTGCAAAGGGATAATAGTTTGCTTAATGCTCCAAGATCGAGACTGAGCTTCATCTCTAAGTCCAAGCTGAGATGAGCTTGCCATAAAGACCAAGTGCCCCAGAAGCCTCCTGTGTATTCAGAAATTCACTTCAGCCACAACAACCCCCAGCAGGGCTACAGGCTTGAGGAGGAGTGGCTGGAGAGCTGCCAGTCAGAGAGGGACCTGGGGGGGTGATTGACAGCCGGCTGAACAGGAGCCAGCAGTGTGCCCAGGGGGCCAAGAAGGCCAATGGCATCCTGGCTTGTGTCAACAATAGCGTGGCCAGCAGGGACAGGGAAGGGATCTGAGCCCTGGGCTCGGCACTGGTGAAGCCGCCCCTTGATGAGGGGGTTCAGTTTTGGGCCCCTCACCCCAAAAAGGCCATTGAATGACTCGAGCGTGGCCAGAGAAGGGCAACGGAGCTGGGGCAGGGTCTGGAGCACAGGTCTGCTGGGGAGCGGCTGGGGGAACTGGGGGGGTTCAGTCTGGAGAAGAGGAGGCTGAGGCGAGATCTTCTGGCCCTCTGCAACTCCCTGACAAGAGGGTGCAGAGAGGGGGGATGAGTCTCTGGAGCCAAGTAACAAGTGATAGGACAAGACGGAATGGCCTTAAGTTGTGCCAGGGAAGGTTTAGACTGGATATCAGGAAGCATTTCTTTCCAGAAGGGGTTTTGGGGCATTGAAATGGGCTGCCCAGGGCAGGGGGGGAGTCCCCATCCCTGGAGGGGTTTAAGAGTTGGGTTGACACAGCGCTGAGGGATCTGGTGTAGTTGGGAACTGTCAGTGTGTGTTAATGGTTGGACTGGATGATCTTCAAGGTCCTTTCCAACCTAGGCGATTCTGTGTAATAGAGTCTGGCCAGCCATGGTGGACATCCAGCACAGAAATGTCACAGTAAGGCTGCCCCAAGTAGCTCTTACATGAAGTCCCATTTTTCATTTCTTCTACAGTGACATCCCCATGCTTCAGACCAACAAGCAGGAACTGGATGAATTAATTGTGCAGGTTCAGGAAGAGCTGAACCATAAGAACTTGAACAAGAAGAACATTCAGGAGGCGTTTCTTCAGTGTGACAAGGATGGCTCTGGCATCCTGGACAAAGCAGAAGTCTTAGCCCTTTGTGACAGCTTGGGTGTACCAACCAACACCATTCTTCTTAACAAGGTCAGAAGGAAGGGGTGCTGTGTGTATTGAATTCCCCTCCTATAGCCAGGTGAGACCAACACCTGCTCTACCCTACAAAGGGGAACAGCTTCAAGAAAAGGGCAAGAGAGTCCCAATTTGTAAAGGCCTCTGAGCTGTTGGAGTAAGCCTGTGTCCTAAAGGAGGAGATAATTGCTGTCCTCTAAGGGAAGATATATTACCCAGGTTGCCCCCCAGATTAGCTGTTTGGCTGCTCTGTTATATGAAGCCTGAAAATGCTTACTACCTCAGATCTGAGATGAGCAGAAGAGGTTGTATATCATGATAGAGATCAGGCATAGGCTACTGCAGAGCTACCGAGTGTCTGTCATGACTTGAGAACACCTGGGCTTGAGTAAAGATGACACTGAGGTGCTTAGGGAATGAGCCTTAGGAAGGCTTAGACGCATTCTGGATTTAACAGCAACTGAATTGAAGATATGAGAACTAAGTATTTTACCAACAAAAAAAAAGAGAAGAAATTAAAACCATAACCACTTGGTTAACACAACTAAACCAGAGGCTTGCTGGGCACTGTGAGCAACAGCTCATGGAGATCACAGTCTGCACAGCAGAAAATGGGAGGGGAAACTGAAGAGAAAAATTAAAGCAGTGGGGATGGAGGATCCTTTCAGGAATATGACTGGCAAGGATGCTTTCTTAGCTTTCTTAGCATAATGTGATATGCAGTAGATCGGTGGCCAGTAAAGGCAGACTCAGAGTTTAAAGAAATCTAGAAACCAAAGGGATTATTTCCCTTACTGAAAAAAAAAAAAAAAAATCATAACTGTGAGCATCACAGGATGGTTAGAAAGGTGCATGGGCAGGGTATTTATGTCTCTGAACGTGCACTGAATAAAGGCTTTTGACTAGCACCCAGGGCTTTGCTGTACTAGAGCTTATCAGAGACCACTCTGCCCTGAGGAATTTCCAATGTGGTGACAGTCCTTCCTGCTTCCACTCCAAGAATGGGAGATGAAGTGTCACGCTCAAAAGCATGTGGAGAACCTGTGACAACTGAGGCTAAACCCCCATGTTTGAATCCCCATCTAGGACCCCATCTAGGATACACTGAAAACATCCCTCTTCTCTCTTGAAATCTTAATACGGGTGTGCCCAGAGCCCTCAGAAGTGTGGCAGTGCTATAAATTAAACATATGGCAGACAGTTAACTACTGTCTGGACTGGAGAGGAGCACAGCTGTCAGTCACACAACAGCAATCCCAGTAAATCTGTCTCCAGGCGACAAAAGGAAGAAGAATCCTTTCAAGGAACTGTGATATTAGACCTTTTCCATCTCCCTGGGTGTCAGAAGGAGATTAGTTATGCAATTAAAGAAACAAAAGCCCTCTTTCTTCTCCTTAAGCACACAAAGGCTATAGCTCTGTAATACAATGCAGGGTCAGGCACGGATACCAGAACTGGCTCATTAGTAGGGCTGTCGCTGAGCTGAATTATCTTGTGTCTCCACTTTATGCCATGTGCACACACCAAAGCGACACCAGCGAACACTAACTGTTAGATATGCTGCCCCCATCTCACTTTTGGCACGGATTTCTATGGGGGTTTCTGAAAGATTTGCTGTGGCCTCTGTCGAGCTGTGGCCATGCTTTATTTTTTTTTTGTGGATCTGTTGCCACCGTGGGGATACTCAGAAGGCAATCAGGATTAAACTCAAACACTTTAAACTCTTCTCCTTGCATAGATTAATGTCATCTAGAAGCATTCAAGGTTACCTGTAATTCAGAATTACTAAAGTGGTAGACTTTGCCACACAGAGGAGTAAGATCTTGTGCTCTGTCACACAAGGAGCACTTCTGGGCACTTTCTCCTAAAGAAACAAATTTGCAGCTTCTTCCAGCTCTTTAGGTGTTTGTTGTTTGTTTTGTTTTGTTTTGTTTTCCCCAGCTGATTGACCTATGTTCTTGTGGAGAAGACAAGATAAACTACCACGACTTCCTTCGAGCCTTCCCCTCGTGATCATTGCCCAGAAGCTGAAGCCCAAGATCAGCAATAGAATTCTTAGCTGACTTGAATTTAAGACATTGTGCTTTAAAAAGGATGCTCTAGTCTTCATCTCTGCTTCACTCACTGTCCTCACAAGAGCCAGCTAACTTTACCCTCACTTTAATTTTTTTTCCCTTCCTAACCTCTCCCTGCCCTTTTAGTCACCACCAAACTCAACCTCACTGAGTATTCAAACTCAACTGCTGGATATTGAAATGAAACTCACAGAAATAAAAACTTTGGAGAACCAAAGCCAGGTTCTCCTGTTGATCTCTCAACTTTTTAATGCAGTACAGCAAGGCTCACTAGGGCTAAAACTCTCTAAAGCCTGGAGTGATAAGTCACTCTAGAGTTCTCTTACAGAGTCAAAAGGGGGCTTTCACCTTCAAGCAGCAAAGACTGTCAGTTTAAATTGTTATTTGCATTGCAAGAAGATCTAAGAGCCCTGCCATGGACCATGATAAACTCACACCTGCTAGTCTGAACATAAGCAATGTTAACATACACATGACTGCTGTAACAGGGTTAATAAATTTGCTTGAAATCGAAGTATCTCAGTGGCTGGAATAGCAAAGGATTAAAGTGAGGGGGAAAGAAAAACCAACACAAAGTGTGTTTCTGGGTTTATTTGAAATGGAGTGGTGAGTTTAGCTCTCACGTTATCTATAGAAATAGCAGGGGTCTGTACACAAATCTGCTGACAGCAGCTTTGCATTTTTTAACAAAAGGTTGGGAGAATGTTTTTAGGAGTGAGATACTATCTAAACCCATCTTATGCAACCTGTCCTCTTACCAGACAGGTCCAATGAAAAGGGAAAACTAGCAGGTGGCATAACAATAGAGTTATGATAGCTGTGCTCCACTTAAGAGTCACATTGGTCATCTCTCCGTGACGGTAAACGTGGCAGGGACCTTCTCACCCCAGATCACACCTGCCAGGTATTGCCATTGAGCACGTATGAAAGGCAGCTACCACGCACACAGTAGAGAATAAAGCTCTGCAACAAAATGCTTATTTAAATCAGCTTTTGTGATGTGGATTCCCACTTCCCCTCAGACAGCTGAGAGTCTCCACATGACAGCTCCCTCCTGTCTCCCCTTGTTCAGAAAGGTCATCGCTCTTCCCTTCTGGGCCTGTTTTGTGCTGCTGCTCCCTCTGACCGAGAATCACCTTGGTTTTCAAAGCATGGCTTGGTGTGGCATGAGGTGCCTTTCAAGCAGCAGCTGACAAAGGCTGACTTCTAACAGCCAACCTAATCAGCTTTTCTAGAGACCAAGAACTTACAGATGAAATTACTGGAGCTGTAGGCTGTAGAAAAGAAAGTCAGAAACTGTTTGCTGCACATGCTACGAAACTGTAACCTAATACTCAGCCAAATCGTGTAGCATGCCCGGGGCCAGCTGCAGAAAGTATACAATTTAGCTCACCATAAAGTATGCACCTCAACCACATCAGATAAATCATATCCTACAAATGCCCTTATCCTCCACGCCCAGGGATGAAGGCAGCCAGAGATAACTAACCCAGAAGCAGCTGCCCATGCTGTAGTCATGGGAAATGTGAGAAGATGAAGCCCAGCTGTGGGGGATACGAGGACACAAGATGCTGCACCGAAGGGAACAGACTGGTCTGGCATGGCAGGAGAGACGTGCAACCCACGGCAGCCTGCTTTTGCAACGCATACAGCTCAGCAGAGTGATAAAGCATCAGCGGACAGCAGCAGTGGAAGAATCTATGCCTTTTATTTATTTATTTCAGAAAAATAGTTTTGTTGAGTTTATCACAAAAGTCATTTAACAACAAACAACAACAAACAAAATCCATACAAAAATTTAAGTGACAGGAAGAATGAAACAAACAGGATAAAATATCAGAGACTGTTACTTCCCCCTACCCCCTCCAAAATTAGGCAATTTGCACTAAAGCTTAAATATGGAAGAACAGAAATTTTCCTCGAGTTCCTTTGCTAAAGTTTGGTTCATTGAGTTCAACATATTCAAAGAAAAACTACGTGCCTCTACCTGGCTTTTACAACAGCCACTCTTCCTTGATGCCAGCAAAACCCCACAGACAGCCCCGAGGCGAAGTAACATGCTTCACTGTTTTAAGTACAAAACCTACCAAACAAACCATCTACTACACACTCACGAAGTTCACCGGAAGGCTGTAAATCAAACCCCATAAACTCCATCTACTGTTGATGCAAGTCGGGGTCCATCTACCAAGATTTCATCTAAGGCAAGAGACTGAGGCTGCCATAAACAAACCCCCGTGCACTGCAGCAAAGTCAGGGTAGCTACAGGCTTCAAGAGTCTCTTGGAGGCAAAGGGGGGGCATCGTTCTTCCCTCCAGCCAGGAAGCCTACCAAAAATACATTTTAAAATGGTGAGTTAAGGGTAAAGGGACCTACAGGGGAACTGGAACTTGTCTTCTTTACTACTAACCCAAACATGATGAGCAAGAAGAAAGAATCCTAAACAAAAAACAACAACACAACTGTAATGCCCCATAAGAGTCACTCAAAAATTACATGTGAAATGCTACATCTGTTCTTCCTCCAGCCCTTTCTCTTCCCAAGCCCATTCCCCAGCTGTCTAAGACAAAAAAGAGAGAACTACTGCTGGTATTTCACAGCTCTTGTAGGCTAGGGCAGGAAAACACTACACTTCACACCAAAACCCACAAGACTCAATTCCTGACCTTCTTAGGTTGGATAACGGACACAGACTACAAAAGCAGCCTCAAGCCCACAGGAAGGGTGCAAGCAATAGCATTACACTGAAAGCAAAGACTTGCAGTTTTGCATAGTCTCTAAATACCTTCTGCACTGTGGTGGACAAAAGCTCCTGTCTGGGGTTGGGCCTTTTTTGCAGAAGTCACGGGGCTTGACAAGATGGGGCGTGAGAAGAGCATCGACTCAAGAAAAGTGAGCTCTCAGCATCTTTGTACGCAGAGTGGTCAAGGAAAGACTGACCACTAAAGGGCTTGCAATGAAAATACTCCGTTTGGGAAAAAAAAAAAAAAAGCTCTTTGGGCTGAAGAGAAGGCTCGGTCTGCTGAGAAATGGCACAGACATAGAAGCAATTACTGCAGGTTTGCAGCCAAGGGATAGTGCTCGCACTAGAAGACAGAGACAGAAGCAGCCTGTGGCAGTCCCTCCAATGGAGAGTGGATTGGAAACCTCTGGGATAACAGCGCATATTGCCTTACAGCAAAGGCTCAGCTCAAAAAAACACCAAACAAACCTGCCACGTTTGGGTATAACAGGAGAAGGATGGGGATTTCTGAGGACTAAATACATGGGAGGGCAAAAAAAGCCCCATCATCTATAGGTTTAAAAAAAAAAAAAAAAAAAAGCACATGAAAATGCTTCCAAAACAAACTGTCCCTTTTACTGGTAGCTTTATCAAAAAAAGAAAACAAAACCCACATAAATGTAGCATATGTTGTACGTACACTGTAGAGGGAGGGTGTCCAGCTATTGATATAGTACACAGACCAAGTGTACGAGAGACTACGTGGCAACATAAGGCACTTGGGATACAAAGCATGAACAGCTACTGTATGGAAACACAGGATTGTGCAAGTGGAAATGCTGCCTGAAGTGAAGCAGGCAGGAGGAGGAATCATTCAGCAGCCGTTTTTTGAGGGGACTGTATGTGTCACCTGTTAACAGAGTCAATGCCTCAGCTGCTGCGAGGCACCGGCTTTGCAGAAAGGTTCGGGCTGAGGCTCTGCAGATGCCGGCCAGCGGTTGCTCTCGGAGGGCACGTGGCAGTGGATGGCTGGGGATGGGAAGAGGCAGCAGAAAGGAAAAACCTCTCACACTAGACCTTTTCCACGTCCTCCCTAAAATAAAGCTCTTTTCCTGCTCTAGTCACGTTGCGCTGCGGTCACTATTGCTGCCTCTGAGCCAAATGTGTTTTATCTACCCGAGAAGGGCTACGAGGAGCAATTGCAAGATACCACCAAGGGCTCTGCTCTGAAATTTCCTTCCTCGGTTCCCCTGAAAAAGGGGGGATGCCTCTCCTGCCAGTATCTCTCATTTGACACTCAGACATCATGGGGATGGAGAACAAATGGAATTTTAGTAACTGTCCTCATGTCCCTGCACATTTTCTCCCTCCGGTGCCCAGCGTTAGCTGGGGCTCAACAAGGAAAGAAGGAAAGGTCAAAAGACACCTACAGGAGGATAAAAACGCGACCCAACTCAAAGAGGGGCAGAAAATCAACTGTCACTCGTTCCCCAAAACACGAATGATGCGAAGGACGACTGTGCCAGCCTCAAGCTAGAATTGCACTCGGAGAGAGCCAGAGTTCAGCTACCCAAAGGGCTGCGCAAGGGGCACGCTACAGATCACGTGCCTCCCTCACCTGCAAGGAAGGTGGACCTCGATCCTGGCTTGCACATCGAAGAGCACTGCAGCTTCCCCCAAGCCTGTGCCCTCTCTTCTCCTCCAGCCGAGGGAGTGCACCGCCCGCCTGCTCCTGCTGCGGCGAAGCAGAACTAAAGCTACAGCTGGCTTTGCTGCACAAGAGGCACCAACAGCAAAGCCCAGCTACAGAAACTGCCCCAGAGGAGAGCTGGGGGCTGAGAGGTGCCCGTCTACTGAACGCCTACCAAATCTAGACTGGGGCATGGCAGCCCGAAGCAGCTCAGCGAGCTGGCACTGACCCACAAAACCCTGGGCAGGAGATGCTGCTCCCCAGCAAAGAGGCAGCAGGGGATTGAGCCGGTGGGATCTGGAGTTCCCACGAATCTCCTGCCAGCATATACGGGCAGCAGCGGGCAGAAGCAAGAGGGAAAGTGGTCTGCAGCAACAGATAGCCTCTGAGGTAGATTTGAGACAACTCCATCTGCCAACAGCTACGCGTCACAGGTCAGGCTTTTCCTAATATGCAAGCTGCTCCTTGCAGCCCTGGCTTCCTTCCCCTTCCCTGTCATCTCATTCACAGCTCAGAAAGGGATGAAGGGGCTAGGTTTTTTGGAAGAAACCCTGCATTTGATAGCACCTTGGGTGGATACAAGCTCTGTATCCTTTGGAAACAAAAGAGTGAAGCTGGTGGCTGCCGATGGCACAGCTGGACTGGTACAGTAGGGTTAAGGAAGGCTAAGGTGACAGCATGAGAAGCACAGTCCCACTGATGCAAAAACCGTTTGCAGCAGCCAGTTTGTCATCTAGATGTGGTCATGAGCCATGAGAACACCAGGTCCACGAGGCACACACAAGCTGGCAAAGGACCTGGGCTAACAGGCGCCAGGCCAGCACTCAGAGCGGGGCAGGACCCAAGGTTTCACATGGACCTGAGGATGCTGCTGCCCCACAACAAGGCACTGTGAGCTGCAGAGCCCCGAGCTGAGCTCTTGGGGCTGGGAGGTCCAGAACAACTACGGGCTAGCTCACCTCCTGCAGGCAGGAGGGTGTGAGGGGCCCAGCTGTACCAGAAGAGCTGGGGCAAGCAAAGGCTAGGAGGTGGGTCCTATATGAAGAGAGAAACTCTCTCCCTTCTCTGCTGCCCAGTTCTCCAAAATTAGCTCAAAACCAGGTGTCAGAAAACCCCCACTTAACCAGAGGTCCACCATGAGGCAAGACACAGCTGAGACTCCTCTCTCAGACCCTGGTCTCTATTTGCAGCACCACCATCTCGTGGTACTTGCCAAGCACTGGCCAGACGTGCCCCAGGAGAGGCAACCCTTGCCTGAGAGCACCCCTAAGCCTCAGGATCACAGAGCCCCAGCGCATTTGCCCAGGAGCCTGTTCCCACAACAGACACATGGTGCCTTCAAGCTGCTGTGGCCCTGACCCCGGGGCTGAGGGAAGCACCACAGAGAGAGGGGAGAAATCTGCTGTAGAAGAAAAAAAGGATTGTTCGGAACCATCTATGATGCATTTGTAACAAGAATCAAAAATAACCAAACACTAAAATAGAAAAGGAAAAAAATTGCACACTGATTTACGATGAAACAGAGGAAGGCAAAACCAGGAGGGTTGGAAAAGGCTCCTACGAGGGCAAGGGAGAAGGGAAAGGGACCTTTTTGGTTTTATTGCAAATGGTTCAAGAGAGCAAGAAAGGAAGGGAGGAGAGCGAGAGACACCTTGGGAAGATGACCAGTTTCCAAGCCTTTCAAGACGATGCTCGATGCTTGTGAGGACCAGGAGGAGGGGCTGCTTCTTAGTCCCGGTATCTCACCCTCCTCCCCAAGAGCCAAGCCTTTGCTTCTATGGTGATTTCAGCTTCTTGGTTCGCGGCGAGGTGCCGTTCTCCGCTTTCACCACTCCGTTTTCATGATAACCTGGGGATGGAGAGTGAAAACTTGGTCCCTTGCACAGGTCAAAACCTTAACCCTCACAGGGCTGGCCCATAGATACGGGGAAAGCCGCCAGCAGGGCACAACCCTGCTGGGGAGCCCTGGGCTCTGCACACAGCAGGAGGCACCACCGCAGTGCTGCCAGCACGGGCAGCGGCCTGCTGAGGGGATGCTGAACCACTGATGCCTCCCATGGTGCCACCCCATGATACACCAGTCCCAGCACTCACCCGAGTCCCTCTTGAGTGGCTTGGCTTGCTGCTTGGTGCCGGCGGTGGCAGCGGCTCGCTTCCGACTGCTCTGCTCGTTCCAGTACTCCCGCCAGCGCCGCAGCTGGAAGTGGATGAAGCGCCACATCACCGAGGCCTGGAAGAGGCACACCAACAGCAGCACACTCATTCTGGCAGGGGTGGAGAAGAGGCAGGCTGAGAACAGAGGAGCGAGGCCACCACCAGCCCCCAGCCTTCCCCCGACACCGGGGCTGGTGGCTGAGGTCCCCCTGGGTGGCTGCACCGAGCACTGGAGGCAGGTGCCGTCCCTCCAGCCACCATCTCTTCTTTCTACCACCTCCTGGGCTCAGGGCAGCCATTTCCCTTTCCCTCCCCACCATAAAGCTCTCAAGCGCTCAGGGCGTTGCTGACTCTTAAGACTTTAGAGCAGGAATGGATAAAGAGGGTCACAGAATCATCAAGGTTGGAAAAGCCCTTGAAGCTCCTCCAGTCCCACCATGACCCTCACCCTGACCGTTCCCAACTCCACCAGATCCCTCAGCACTGGCTCAACCCGACTCTTCAACCCCTCCAGGGATCCCGGGGACTCCCCCCCTGCCCTGGGCAGCCCATTCCAACGCCCAACAGCCCCTTCTGCACAGAAATCCTTCCTCAGAGCCAGCCTGACCCTGCCCTGGGCAGCTTGAGGCCATTCCCTCTTGTCCTATCGCTTGTTCCTTGGTTCAAGAGACTCATCCCCCCTCTCTGCACCCTCCTGTCAGGGAGCTGTAGAGGGTGATGAGGTATCCCCTCAGCCTCCTCCAGGCTAAACCCACCCAGTTCCCTCAGCCGCTCCTCGGAAGATCATCTCAACCAGCACTGGCCAAACTGAAGTCTGCACGGTCCCCAGCTGCTCTGTACAACTGAAAAGTGGATGTGGTTGGAAGGGAGCTAAGAAAGTCCCCCAAATCCTCAGGTATGCCAGCAGTCCATGGTGTCAAAAGGCTTGGGAATGACCAGGCACCTGCCCTAGCAACTTCTGAACTGAACCCACAGCTGCAGTATGAGCGAGAAAGGCTCCCTGTCTCGACAGACAGCCTGCAAGGCATGGGTAACCCATCCCATCCTCTGCATCCCACATCAAAACATGTCCAAGCAGAAGGGAAAATGCCTTTTCATTGACCACATCCACGTAAGTGCAATTACAGGTGCAGAAATGAAAGCCTGCAAGCCTTTCTCTATGATAGGCTTGTGCTTTATAAATTTCTTCACTTGACGAACAACTTATTTGCTGGCTTTTCGCCTCTGTTGTGGCTCCACAGCCTTTAACTGTTTCTTGGTCCCTCCACACCCTCCCAGCTCACTAGGACCTTCCCTAAAGGAAACCTAGATCAGATTCCCACTGGCATTTCCACACTCAACACCTTGGGATAACACAACAAGGGAAGATGCAGTAGGGACATTCCTACCTGAAGAGGATATTGTTGAAGAGAAAGCTAAAGAAGTTCCCCCTCTCTGGGTCGAGGGCCTGGTTCTCCACCCGCGGCAGCCCGAAGCCCATGACCAGGATGTACAAGGTGAGGGTGAAGAGCCTGGTGACCACGAACACGACAGCCCAGACATTAAACCTGCAGGAAGGCAAGAAGTGGTGTCGGCAGGAGCAGCCTCCAGCTCTGAGCTGGAAGGGGAGAGCAAGGCCCCTGTCACGCAGACAGCTCTCCTGGGTACCAGAGGATGGAAGGCATGGCCAGCCTGCCTGCTTACAGCTTCTCGTTGTTCTCATCCGTGAAGTAGACCAGCCGGGCCATGTGGAAGAAGAATTCGGCCAAGTACTGCAACAGCAGGAGGATCAGCCCCAAGCGGGTTAAGCTAGGAGGGAAGAGAAGGGAAAATAGATCACTAGGCTGGTCAAGCTTCACAGAATCACAGAATCATCAAGGTTGGAAAAGACCTTGAAGATCATCCAGTCCTCCAACTATTAACCTCACCCTGACCGTTCCTAACTCCCCCAGATCCCTCAGCGCTGGGTCAACTTGACTCTTCAACCCCTCCAGGGATGGGGACTCCCCCCCTGCCCTGGGCAGCCCATTTCAATGCCCCAAAACCCCTTCTGGAAAGAAATCCTTCCTCAGAGCCAGCCTGACCCTGCCCTGGGCAGCTTGAGGCCATTCCCTCGGGGCCTGGCGCTGGGGCCTTGGCTCCAGAGACTCATCCCCCCTCTCTGCCCCCTCCTGGCAGGGAGTTGCCGAGGGCCAGGAGGTCTCCCCTCAGCCTCCTCTTCTCCAGACTGAACACCCCCAGTTCCCCCAGCCGCTCCCCAGCAGACCTGTGCTCCAGACCCTGCCCCAGCTCCGTTGCCCTTCTCTGGACACACTCGAGTCATTCAATGGCCTTTCTGGGGTGAGGGGCCCAAAACTGAACCCAGGAATCGAGGGGCGGCCTCCCCAGTGCCGAGTACAGGGGCAAGATCCCTTCCCTGTCCCTTCTGGCCACGCTGTTGCTGATACAACCCAGGATACCATCAGCCTGCTCCTTCATATCCAACAACAGCACCTCCCCTGCCATCCCTGAGCTGCAGCAAGCACCAGCCCAAAGCCGAACCTCCCTGCAGCAGCTGGGGTAGGATTGCAATGGGGGAAATCCCTGTCCCCAAAACATCAAAACAGCCCAAACCAGTAGCAGAGCTGGGATGGGTTTGACAAAAAGCCCTCACTGCTGGCATCACTGCTCTGTGCACACACTCAGAGGAAGGATAAGAGCTTGCCTGCCTATGCCGTGCTGGGAGAGCACCCCAGGGCGCTCCCCGCACCCAGGGGAGATGCACCTGTCAGCCTGTGTTTTGGGTCCCTGGTTAACATTTGCTTTGCAACACCCTGTGAACAGAAACCGCCGCCTGTGCACTCGTGTAACAACACTCAACTCCTTCAGAATCAGCTCTGTGGGTCTGTGAAAACTATTTGACTGACAGCCTGCAGTCAGGAAGTCAACTTCCATACCACCTGCTTTTTAAACACTTGCCTTTATTCCCTTTAAGGCCCCTCCCCCCCC